ACCCAGTTAATTAATGTCTTGTAGAATATATAGTGCCCAGAACTCAGCACAGCAGCCTAGAAGGGGTCTGCCTCAAGGAGCAGTACGACCACTCACTCCCTTTCTCCAGACACAGCACTCCTGTCAATCCAGCCGCATGGCTTGTAGGGTTTTAGCAGCCTCGTTACACTGGTGGCCCATGTTGAAGTTAAATTCCCCAGTGGTTTTTAGCATAGACTCCTTTCAGCCAGGTCTCTCCCATCAGCTATGCAAGTCATTGATTATTTGAATCAAAATGCTGGTGTTGTAATTTATCTTTGTTAAAGTTAATCTGATTGGTTTCACCCATGAATAAAACTTGTTAAAATCCTTTTGACTCCTAACGACCCCAATTCATAGTGGCTCTGTCATTTAGAAATTTGAAGAACTTACTTTAAAACAATCAGCAGTAGCAGCCTTCTCCTCCTCCTCCTCCTCATCACCATCATCGAATCGAAATGAAAGAAGGTTAAGCAAAAATAGTAGTTTGTTAGTAGGCAGGGTCAAAGGAAGGGTGAAGCAACTAATCCACAGGAAAGTCAAGGTTAAAGCTGGTCCTCAGTAAGCATTAGAACAGGAACTCAAACCGTAGCACTTTCCTCTCCATCTGTCATCTGCCTCTATGCACCGGCCTTCTTCCTTCCTAACTGCATGGCTTTGCCCATGGCAGAAAGCATGGCTGCCAACACCTCCAGAGCGTTGCTTGTTGCAGCTCCAACTTCTTTGAAAGAGATTGATCTGGTCCCAATCGTAAAATCCAGGGAATGGGGAAAGGCACTCCACATCATTAGCCATTAGGAAGGTCCAAATCAAAACCACAGTGAGATATCGCTCCACACCCACCAGGAAAGCTATGATCAATAAATAGTGTTGTCTTACATAAGGAGAAATTGGACCCCTCATTCACTGCTGGTGGGAATGTAAAATGGTACGGACACTTTGGAAAAGAGTTTGGCAGTTCCTCATACTATTAAACATAGTATGACACCATATGACTCCTAGAGAAAAGAAAACATGTCCACACAAAAACTTGTACACAAATGTTCACAGTAGCACTGTTCACAATAGCTAAAATGTGGAAACAACCCAAATGGCATCAACTAACGAATGAGTTGACACAATGTGGTATGTCCATACAATGTAATATTACACAGCCATAAAAAGGAATGAAATACTGAGGCATGCTAGAACATGGGCAAATCTCGAAAACATCATGCTAAATGAAAGAAATGAGACACAAAAAGCCACATATGTGATTCCATTTGTATGAGATGTCCAAAATGGGGAAACCTATAGAGACAGAAAGTAGATTAGCGGTTGCCTAGGATGGAGGTCGGAGGGGTGGGGTGTGGAATGGTCACTGACGGCTAATGGGTGCAAGGTTTCTTTTAGGGGTCATGAAAGTGTTTTAAAATTAGACTGTGGTGATGGAAGCACAGCTCTGTGAATACACTAAACACCACTGAAATGTACAGTTTAAACGATTGTATTTTATGGTGTGTAAATTGTATCTCGATAAAGTTTTAAAAAAAAATAAATCAAGGAAAGGAATTGATTGACTCAGCTTGGGTCAGATGCCCTATTTTGAACTTAGTAACTGTGACTAGTGGAAGTGGGGGTGTCGGGGAGGGTTTGTAGGAATACGGTAGCTCCTACATGGTATCAGCAGACAAAACAGCAGGTACCCACCACAGTGGCTATTTCCAGAGAATTTACAGTTAACACAAACACTGAATAAAGTGTTTCTTCTGAATTATTAATTATGGCCATAAGACTGGTGACATAAAACCCATTTTATAGATGATAAAGGCTCATATTAAATAAATTGCCCGTGGTCACTTAACTAGTTGGCAAGTACTGTGGGGCTAGGGTTCAAACCCAGGTCTGAAGCCAGTGTCCTCTCTCAATTATTAGGCCATGCTGCCTCCCTCTGGCTTTATACAAGATGTTGAAAATACTGGACCATACCACTGGAGACCAAACTTGAGATCTATTCTTTCTTTCATTTACTTATTTGCTCTTTCACTAACATGAAAACCATGAACTTGCTTGGCCGGCGCAGGACCACTGTGGGTAATCTGTGGGAAGTGCCAGAAGACTGGAGATGCTCGTTCGACTCCTGCCAACCACATTGCTACCCACCCCACACTCCTCCAGCTTGTGAAGGGTACGAAGAACTGGGACAGGAACACATCTTGCTAAAATCACAATGCAGTGGGTCTGTAGCAATCTCCCGATCCAACAGCCGGTTAACCTTACTCTCAAAACAAGAAATAAGGTTAATGTGGCAAACGTGTGCACCGTGGACAACACAGTGTATTTGCCAAGTGTTCAAACTGTCCACTTAATAATCTGCTCTCGACTTCTGCCAGAAACTTGATGGCCGAACTGATGGATGCCAAGCCCACCGGTCTGTGGTTTCTCAGAACTCCTTTCCCCTTCTTTACAAATACTGGTACAACCGTTTTCCATGTCTAGTCTCTTGGTATTTTTCTGGGGCACCGTGATTTCTCCTGGATCGTGGGCAGTGGCTCCACAGCCCCGTCTGCACATGCCCTGTGTCTCCCGGGCGGATTCATGTGGGCCTGTGATGTAAATTCGCTGGCTTCAGCCGGGCACTTGCCTGTGACCCCCTCTCCTACTTCAAGCTCCCGGTCCTTCTTGTTGGCATCTGTCCCGGCCTCTCCAGGACGAAGCGCGTTCTTCTCTATGGAGAAGGCAGCGGAGCCCATGGGAGTGGAGTCGTTCTGCTTTCTCTCTGTCATCTGTCACCAGCAGTAGGCATAGCTTCTCTCCTCCTTCTTTCTTCAAATGGATCCAACAATCTTTCTGTTGTCCTTAGTGTTTTCCACCAGCCTCAGTCATCCTGAAATGTGCTTGTTCTTCCATGCTCCGGCCTCGCTTCCATTTCATCCGCGGCCATGTGCCCACTGGCCCCCTTCCAGTCACGCCCGCTGAAAGTCCCAGCTAACATGCTACAGGGGGCAGCCCCCTTTTCTTCATCACTGGGATTATTTGAACTTGGGACAACCAACTGTGGTTTTAGAGTTTCCGATTAACCGAGACTATGGTTTCCAGAATGCCTAGGTAAAAGTAATAGCATTTATTGTTTATAGATGCTGCGTATGTCACAGCAGGATTATGATACAGGTTACTGTTAGGATCTTCATTCCATAAACAAGGAAACTGAGGCCCAGGGTCACATTCTCCCAAGGTCACGCAGTTATTTTATGGTGGAGCTGGGTGGGCCTTGAACCCAGGTCGTCTAAGTGCAGAATCCACATTCTCAACCACTTCACTGGAGGGCTCCCCTGAGCACCATGCAGAGGAGGCAACCCCAGCCCCAAAGATCCAGAAGGAGCTTTCATAGGCCTTAACAGCAGTGCACGTCCAAGACAGCGTGAGCCAGGAAAAGGAGAAGGAAGACAGCTCCGAAACAGGAGGCTGCTTCACATGGTATTGAGAGGGTTAAGTGAGATCGTTCATTCGTTCCTCAAATACCTGTCAGCCTCTGCCATGGCCTCCACAAAGCCCTTAGGTGTTTAGGAGGTAAGGACTCATACTTCTGAAACAGCCTACCCCACCCCCTTCCATCTTCTCTCTGGAGACCCAAGACACCTGGGCCCGGCAGGACAAGCGAGTTGGAGCCTATTTCAGCAGCAGTGACTCCTGGTCATCCTAAGCTTGTTTCGGCTCCAGACACCCAGAGTGCACAGAGGCGGGGGAGATGGTGTTTCTGGCTTTGGCCAAAGGAGTCATCACAGCGTTTTGCTTAATAAGGGCTTTAAATTATCTCAATAAAGAGGAGACTAAACACTTAACCGCTGTGGAGAGTGTCTTATTGATTGGAGGAGAGAGGCTCTGGCCTGCCTGCCCAGGACTGAGCAGGATCCAGGCCAAGCTGGTCCCAGGGGGCAGCTGCCAGGGTGTGAAGTACTTAAGAGAGTTTCTCCAAGCTCTGAGAGGAGCCAGCACAGTTCCAAAGTGGCCTCGCAACTTAAGAGGCTGAGTTTCAGAGCTCATGGTTCCCCTCTGAGACAGTGGGGTTAGTGGAAAAGACATAAAAGCAAGAGGAGGGGGTTTTAATCCCAGCTGAGCAAATGAGCTCAGTCCGTGTAATGTCTCTGAGCCTCAGTTTCTGCGTCTGTTCAATGGGAATAAGAATACAAAGTTCACAATGCTTGTGGGGCTCCTGTGAGGGAAATGTATAAATGTGACTTGCAGGCCAGGTGTGGGGACTCGCACCCGTAATCCTGGCACTTTGGGAGGGGAGGCTGAGGTAGGAGGATCGCTTGAGCCAGGAGTTTGAGGTTGCAGTCAGCTATGATGACGCTATGGCACTCTAGCCTGGGCAACAGAGTGAGACTCTCACAAAAAAATTTGACTTGTAAATTATAAATCTCCACATGAACAGGAGGTAAGTTTATTATTTGTTATTATTGGTGTCTTGAATGAGATCATGTTGCTCTCGTGCTGGAAGCTCATCCACGGCCCCTCATCACACTCGGGATAAAATGCACACTCTTTGCCGTGGCCCGCTGGACACCGCGGGATCTGGCCCCCGCCTCCCTAACGTGCGCTGCTGTAACTCTCCCCGTTGCTCATGTGTCCAGTCCTGCTGGCCCTTTGACAATTCCCAGAACAGGCCAAGCTCTTTCCTACCCCCTCAGGGCCTCTGTGCTTTCTCTCACCTCTGCCGCACACACCCGTCCCCAGCTGTTCTGCGTGGCCGAATCCGTTACTTTCAGACCTCAGTGTACATGTTAGCTCCTCGGGCCTCTCCTGGCCACACGCCTGCCACCTGACACGGCACCTAGCTCTATTCTCTTCATAGCAGCAACCACCAGCCACGATTTTTTTTATGCATTCACTTATTTGTTTATGGTGTTCCCTTGTAGGACATTGGCTCCGTGAACACAAAGAGTCAGGTGGCATCACAGCACCTGGCATGCGGCAGGCACTGTCACCAATTGTCGAATGAGCAAATGACGAATGGTTGGCAGGGACGCCGGACTTGTTTCCCAAACGGCCCCTCCCTTACACCCTCTCTCTCTCTGTCTCTCTCAGATACGGAGACATGGTGCCCAAGACGATTGCAGGGAAGATCTTCGGCTCCATCTGCTCCCTGAGTGGCGTTCTGGTCATTGCCCTGCCAGTTCCTGTGATTGTTTCCAACTTTAGCCGGATTTACCACCAGAATCAGAGAGCAGATAAACGCAGGGCGCAGAAGGTGAGCCTGGGACGCTGGGGCGTGGAGGAGGTGTCGAGGGCAGGAGCAGCACCGGGGAGGCCCGGACCCGGGCTCTGTGCAGCCGGCAGTCAGCGTGCCAGGCCCGGAGCTCCTCGGAGCGTCACCGCACCCACAGCCCCTGGCTCTGGAAGGTGAGGGGCTTCATGTCCCTTCCTGCTCGCCGGCACCCTGACAGCTCTAGAATGCAGCGAGCCTCAGGTGTCTGGACGCTGACTGTCCCCTTTGGGATACCCTACGGCAGCTCCCCGGTCCCCGGCTCTACCTCCACTCCCTCGGCCACCACCCCTCGCAGCCCCCTGGACTTCTCCCTCTCAAGACAAGCACTTGCTGGGAAACATAATCTCTTTTTATACAAAACCTGGTGGCAAAAATAAATTTAATAGAGAAAAATGAATACCGTGAGAGAACATTCTGAGGTCCTTGAGTTCAGGGACAAATGGCACAATGGGCTTTAGTAACCTCCAGGGCATCGTAGGGTTCGGGCACAGAACTTGGCTGATGATCGGAATAACCATCAGTCCTGAGAAAAGCTTTAAATTATGTCCAGTATATGCTGCTTAAGACGGCAGGGAAGGGTGAAATACTGTCACCTACCCACAGAGCGAGGCAGGATGTGTAAGGCTTTGGTGCTCAGGGAGAAGCCTCCTTGCCCGATTGGCCTTCAGCCTCCTCTGCAGAGCGACTCGGCTCGGCCAGCTCTCGTGCAGCGCATTTTTAAGGCATCTGGCTCGCGGAGGTTCTTGGGTGGTGACTCTTAACCAGGGTTCCTACCAGGAAAGGATGTCTGAGGGGGAGTCTTTCGTTTCTCTTCTGATCTGGGCTACAATGTGGTGGCCCTTCCCTAGCCCCCAGGGGGTGTGGTCACAGCCTTTCCAGGGACAGTGGACAGGAGGGCACCTTGCTGAAAGATTGGCTTATGGAGGCTTGGGGTTTTGTCTCCTTATTTTCTTCTTTCTTTCGTTCATTTATTCCAGACATTTATTGGGCGCCTAGGATGCAGTAGGCCCCATGCATCTCAGCTGGGTTACTTCCTTGCCACGTGGTCCCTGCCAGGTGGCCTATTGTGTGCCCTGCGTTTGCCTCTGCCCTTCCTGTCCCCTCTGCCTGAGCTGAGCTGTATTTTGACATCTTGACCTGGTCTGTAGTGTTCCAGCCTGAAGATTTATCTTCTGGCTCTGTGCCGTCTTCTCTGTCCCGTCCAGACCTGTCTCCTACCCCTTCACCCAAGGTCAGGGTTTCCCACCCCCAACCCCTACCAGCTGTCCCAGAATTGGAAATCTTATCTCTTTCCTTGTTCAAGTCAGCTGACAAATTTGAACAATGTCTAAATTCATTATGCAATCCTAAATCCCCCTGCCTGTTTAGGGGATCTTCTTTCCAAATCCAGGAGCTGAGACCCCAAAGGGCCGGGGATCCTATAGCACCTCCACCCCACCCCCACCCCAGGCGCTAGGGCTGACACAGGTTTTGGCAGAGCAGTGGGGTGAGGTTCGCAGGAATCCTCGGCTCACATGCTAGCCTGTGGGTGTGCACGCACAGTGACAGCCCGTTGCAGCTGTGCTCCTGATAGCTCCTGCGCTTACCTTCCCCCCATGCCCACATCCTCACCTACTTCTAAGAGCATCTCATCTGCTTTTTGCCCCTGCAAAGAATCTAACAGTAGACATTTCCCCAGGAGCTTTTTTTTTTTTTTTTTTTTAAGAGACATGGTCTCACTACATGGCCCTGGCTGGAGTTGAACTCCTGGGCTCAAGCAATCCTCCTCCCGCATAGCTGGGACTACAGGTGTGCACCACCACACCCAGCTCTCCTCTGGGACTTTATAAAGCTCATCTGGTGTGATTAAAATCCAGAAGAAGGCCGGGCGTGATGGCTCACTCCCATAATCCTAGCACTCTGGGAGGCCAAAGCGGGAGGATCGCTCAAGGTCAGGAGTTCAAGACCAGCCTGAGCAAGAGTGAGACCCCTGTCTCTACCAAAAATAGAAAGAAATTAGCTGAACAACTAAAAATATATAGAAAAAATTAGCCGGGCATGGTGGTGCATACCTGTAATCCCGGCTACCTGGGAGGCTGAGGCAGGAGGATCGCTTGAGCCCCGGAGTTTGAGGTTGCTGTGAGCTAGGATGACGCCACGGCACTCTAGCCCAGGCAACGGAGCACGACTCTGTCTCAAAAAATAAAAAAATAAAAAAAATCCAAAAGAAATAACTTCTGCTTATTCCTCCCTCTAGCTGCTAAAGATGAGTCTCCCTCCTGGCTCCCTCCCTGTCCCCTTCCCTCTCCCTCTTCTCTGTCCCCTTGAAATCAGAGTAAATATTTACAGTGTTTTCACCTAGCCTGGATACTGTTTCTCCTCAAGTTTGCTCAGCTCTGTCTGTTTCGCCTTGGGCTGCTGTGAGAGGGGAAAAAAGTGCTTCCCGCCTGCAGCACTGAATCTGCCACGTGCGTCAAGGCGGGCAGGTCCAGAGGGCATAGTGGGAAGCGGAGAGATGGGATGGGAGGAGTCAGGGAAGCCAAGGATGGTTCTCAGCCCAGACCACACACCTGGGAGCTGCAGTAGCCACAAAGGTGAGCTTCAGCCCACGTGCCCCGGGTGTAAATCCTCAGAAGGAAGTTAATGTCGTCATCCTCTTCTCATCATGACTGGTTTGCTTGGGGTCATTACTAAGATAAGTCTGCTACTACTTGTTTCAGAGACTATGTCCTCTGGGCCAAATGAACTGGAGATCAGGTGGGCTGGTCTAGCAGTGGCCAGAGGGAGGGGAACGTCTGGTGGGGGACATTTGGTCCCCATGTCCAGTTCTAGTCCTTGCCCATATTCTTTTTTTATAATGGAATATTTTACTGAGATAATTGTAGATTCACATGCAGTTGTAAGAAACAATACATAGAGATCCCTTGTACAGTTTGCCCAGTTTCCCCCAGTGGTAACATTTTACAAAACTGTAGTACAATATCACAACCAGGGCATGGATATCAAGACAGTCCACCAATCTTACTCAGTTTTACTTGTACTTGCGCACGAGTGTGTATGCGTAGGGTTTTTATGATTCTATCACCTGTGCAGGTTCATGTGCCACCACCACAGTCAAGATACAGAACCATCCCCAATGCCACGAGGATCCATGTGTTGCCCTTTTATAGCCCCACCCCGACCCTGCCCTGTCCCTAACCCCTGGCAACCATTTCTCTGTCCTCCATTTATCAAATGTCTTCATTTCAAAAATGTTATATAAATGGACTCATACAGTAGGTAGCCTTTGAGGACTGGCTTTTTTCATTCCATATACTTCCTGGAGATTCATCCAAGCTGTTGTGTGTATCGATAGTTTATTCGTTTTTATAGCTGAGTAGTACTCCGTGGTACGGACTTACTAGTTTGCTTAACTGCTCGCCTGTTGAAGAATATCTGGGATGATTCCAGTTTTAGGTTATTCCCAATAAAGCTGCTGTGAACATTCATGGACAGGGTTTTATGTAAACATAAGTTTTAATTTCTCTGAGGTAAATACCTAAGAGTGCAATTGTCCACGATCTCTTTTGGCCTTCCCGTTTCTTCCTCTTTCTCCTTCTTCTGCTTCTCCTCTTTCTCCTTCTCCCAAGGCAAGAGATATCAATACTCACTGCCAAAGGGCTGCTGGCCAGGCAGATAGAAAGGCTTAGTTGTGAGAGGCTTCCCAGAGAGTGATAGAATTATGTCTTGCACATAGATGGTGTCTAGAACTGTATCCAGGGTGGCGGCCTTCTCCTTCCAGATCTCTCCTCCAACTCTGGAGTCTCCACACCTGTTGAAAATGCAGCTTCCTGGGATTTGCTCATCAAGTTTAGAAACCTGCCTGAAAAGAGCTGAGATTCAGGGACAGAGGATAATGTTGTGGAAGCAGCATTTGACCTGGAAGTTGGAAGTCCTGAGCTGAAGTCTTGCTAGTCCACCTTGACCTGGATAAGCCACTTACCCTCATGCCCTCCATTTTTTAATCTTTGAAATGGCCCAGGACATGATCTCTAAGCTCTCTTTTAACTCCCACATTGTCCTTATGGCCATGGGTAGGAGTGAGGCCAGCCAGTCCACCCAAGGATGGAGCCCATTACAATGGCTTTATAAACATGGACTCCCAACCAACTATGTGTGACCATCTTCCTTCCTCAGCCATCACAAGCTTTGCACGAACATCTGCTCAGTGTGCCGCCCTGTGCTGGGTACAGGACATAAAAATATGCATAAACCACAAGCTCTGGCTCTCTGGAGCCCCAAGCCAAGCCAAAGAGCCCCACAAAATTTCACGTGCTGAGGATGGTTCTGTAAATACATTGCAAACCTCTTTATCCTGTGTGGGAAATGATTAAATGATATGGTGCATTTGATATGATAATCTATGGCTTTAATAGAGCCCAGGGTAAGATAAGATTAAAAGAAGTACCACAAAGGAGAACAGAAGAATCTTTCATCCCTAGAAAATAATGAAGACAGACCCCAGATATGAGAAAAGTCTGGCTCTAAGTGGTTCAATCAGATTATATAAAGCTGTAATGAGCTTGACACAATTGGATTTCCATATGACGCTCTCAGCACCCAGCACCCAAAGCAATAAGGGCCACATCCTCAAATGGTGAGGAACTTGCTTGAATGTAAACATCTAACCTAGGGAAGGGCTGGAGCAGGATTTGTGGGGCATAGAATTGACCCGGACCTTGGATACAGAGTCTTTGCTCAGAGAGAGGAGGAATGGCAGGGCTGATTTGCCACCACCCTTTCTGTTCCTGGTCCCCTTTCTTGTTTTCTCCTTCATCTAAAGGAACATTCTTCCTCAGATCTATGGGAAGGTCTTCCAGGCTCACATCCTGGCCTTGTCCCCATATTTAGAGGCCAGGGAAGGGAGTTGAACTGTCCCTGTAAGGAGATACTGGCCAATGGGGGCCTTCCCAGGTAACAAGAGATACAGCATGTCCTTTGTGCTTCTGTTGACAGCCTGAACTCCTGTGTCTATGGCCTCCCTTTAGCAGATTAGCCAGCTCAACAAGACACTTGGAGAAGGAGTGACAAGAAATAGAAATTGCCACAATTTCCCAAGGACTCTTCTCTTGCTCAGGGTCTATGCTGAAGTTACATGTAGACTAGCCCAGAGGCAGGGGGAGGAACCGTTCCACACTAGGATGGGTCTGTGATCCTTGTGGGCTCTTCTGCTTCCAGTAGCAAGAGACTGGAGCCTGGTCCAGAGCTATAGGACCCGAAACTTAAGCTGCATTTCTAACCCAGCAGGAACTCCTCTGCCTTCTCCCTTTGCCCAGAGACTCTTTCCTTAGCCTCTCTCTTTGGTCGTGCCACTGTCATGGCGACAATGATTATGGTCATCAGGAAGGAGAAGAGCAGTCAGCATGTGCAGTGTCCAGCCTGTCCCATTGCCTCTGCAAGCAAGAGAGATAGCTTGTATTAATGCACCATGCAGCCCTCCTGCAGGGGACATTCTCTGCTGAAGGCTTCCCAGGTTGGAGCTGGGGAGAGTTTCATCGGCCTAGTTAAAGCCAAAGTGGTGTATGGACATGTGTTCCATCCTCCCTTCTCTTACACACACACCAGGTCACCTCTCACAGGCACCTACACTCATTCCCACTGAGACGCACAGCAAAGTAGACATATACTGACACATCCATGCACGAATCCACTCCCAAAGAGAGACATACAATACGTTTATTAACTTAAAAAAAAATGAGAACCTACTGTTTACTAGGCACTGAGAATATGTCAATGAACAAGGCAAAAACTCCTACCCTCAAAGAGTTTACATTGTAGTGGAGGAAAGAGACAGTAGCAAGATAAATATATAAAACACATACTATCTTAGTAATAAGTGCTAAGGAAAAAAATAGAAATCAGAGAAGGAGTTAAGAAGTGTTGAAAAGCACACACACTTGCTTTTCTCATAATTCACTAGTATTTGAGGACCTACCATATGCGGGGAACTGTACTGGCCCCTGGGGGAGAATCGCATACATTCCTTTAAGGAGTCTGCAGTCTAGTTAGAGATAAGAAATACTCCAGTTGAACAGCACGTGGCATTGTGCAATGCTGAGTAGATAAAGGTCTTGAAACCTTTAGGAGGAGAGAGAACCTGGATGAGTGGTATTTCTCTCACCAGGATCACACCTAGGCCAGACAGACCAGTGGAAACTCCTGGGAATTCTGACCATGGCCAAGCTGCACAGAGGGGGTTAGGGATACACAACCTGTCAGACTCAGCCCCTTGGTCTATAACCAGGGATGCACGAGGCTGGGAAGAAGCAGCCTCCTCCCCTTCATCAGATGTCACCTGGGAAGCCAGCCTCTCTGGGCCAGCCCATCACCGGATTTACCAGCCTTGCTGTCCTTTTGTGTCATGATCTCCCTTACTCTCTCATTGTCTCTGCCAATCGCAGAAGGCCCGCCTTGCCAGGATCCGTGTGGCCAAAACAGGCAGCTCCAATGCCTACCTGCACAGCAAGCGCAACGGGCTCCTCAACGAGGCACTGGAGCTGACGGTAGGTGCCTGGAGGACCTGAGCTGGGAAGGTAAAGGGGAAGGAGAGCCTGTTTTCTCTCTCCAGAGGCACCAGCACTCCCACTCCAGAGCCCCGGTTTGAACCCTGAGGAGGACTTGTTTCCAGACTTCCCCAGGTAGCAGCCGCCCTGCCCACATACCTCTCCAGGGCAAAAGATTATCACCGCCTCCCCTAAACCAGCTTTAGACCAAGGGCCCCTGGCCCAAACGTTAGCATGCTCTATGCTGACCCTAAAAGTGGGTTTGTCCAGATTTTTCTGTTGCCCTCCTAGCTTCTGTGGAGAAATGAAGGAGCTGGAGTGGGGTGGAGCCACCAGCTTTATACTCAGTCTCCCTTCTTTCCTCCCTAGGGCACCCCGGAAGAGGAGCACATGGGCAAGACCACATCACTCATCGAGAGCCAGCACCATCACCTGCTGCACTGCCTGGAAAAAACCACTGTGAGTCCCAGGCCATTGCCACCTCCTTTTGCATCCCTGACCCCTGACCCTTTCTTTTCTAAGGCTGTCCTCACATCCTCACCGGCCAGAAGTTGAAGTCTGCCTGCTTCAGATGTGAAAGGGAGCGGTAAGATCTGTCGGCGCTCAGGAGGAAGGCCCCAGAGTAGAGCAAGCTCGCCAGCCCTGCAGCAGCCCCCCACACCCTACACGAGTCCCCACGGCCCAGTTCTTGATTTTCTGAGGGCTGAGGGCTCTGCCTGTCAGCTTCTTGGTTCTGATGGCATCACCCTTCAAAGCAGGGCTGAATTGGTACACGACAGTAGAAAAGAGTGTGAATTTTTGTCCCATCTCTGGGGCTAGGTTGATGCAATCTGTGGTTCCCTTTGCTCCCTACGTTCCTTTTGGAAAAGGAGACAGCAAATGAAGGAGGCAGTGCATATGTTTCTCTAGCCAGGATTTAGCAGTACCATCCCATCTCAGCCACCTGCGATTCCCAGGGAATTCCGATTGTGAACGGCTGATTGTTAAAGCAGAGTCATGGTTTAAGGGTGCCACAGCTGGAATGTGCAATGATGCTTGTGCCTCACCAACAGACTGAAAGGAAGGGCAGTGGGACCAATCCTGGACCCTTGGCAAGAAGTGCTAGGAATAGGGGGATGGAGGAGTCAGAGTAGACAAGCCAGAGAGAAACAAAGTGAAACCCTTCCCTCTTCCTTCTAAGACCTCTCGCCTAAACAGCCTAGAGTCAGGGCTCAGCACACTAAGGAGGGAACTTTATAATTCTGAATGCTCCATATCCTGGCCTCCCAGATTTGGGGGGAATAGATGTTAGATGACTCTTAACCTGAGCCAAATGTGGACACTATGGATGGCAGTTGAACCCAATGAGGTCTCCCAAAATGGGAGGGTGCTCTGCAAACCCCAGTTTCCAGGATTTATCTTCAAGAACTATATCTGCATATCCAGAATTTCTCTTAACGTTACAGACTTGCCAGAGGTGTAGGCCTGGACCCAACTGCCCTTTCCAAGTCGCATGTGCTGGGTGGAATGTGTGAATTGGAGGGATGTGGGTGAAAATATTCGGGTATGAAGGGCCGGAATGTTGGCACTGAAGAAATGGATTTTGGGATTGGGGATGGAATGCTGGCATTGAAGGGGTGGAATGTTGAATCTGAGGGAAAGAATGTCAGACTGGGATTAAAGCTCTGGAATGCTGAATTTTATGGGAGGAATGTTGGACTCAAGGGGTGGGATGTTGGCATAGGAGAGGCAGAATGTTGGGATAGAAGGAGCAAATGCTGGGTTTGAGCAGAGTCCTGTTGGAGCCAAAAGGTGGAATGTTGGGGAAAAGGCCGGGGGGCAGAATGCTGGGAACAAGGGGTGGAATGTTGGACTCAAAGGGTGGAATGCTGGGATGGAAAGATTGAATGTCAGAACTGGCTTGGGAATGCTGGAATGTACAATCAATGGTGTTTTTATCTTCTGTTGGCATGTTGTCCTGTAGGGGTTGTCCTATCTTGTGGATGATCCCCTGTTATCTGTACGAACCTCCACCATCAAGGTATAACTTTTTAAAACTTCAATTGATGTTTTTCTCTCTGATTCTTCTAAGTCTGTGGATTCTTCTCTTTTTACTCCCTGGCCTGGTTCTCTGCATGTGCTGTTGATTCTTCCAGCCTTAGCCTACCTCTGCTGTCACACCCAGTACCAGCTCGGGCTTCCAGTTTTTTGTGCTAAACTCCCCAGCTGATTCCCTCTTTGGACCTCCCCAGGGGCTTGGGAGGGGTGGTGGAACATGGCACCAATGTTGGTGTCCTGCAAGTGTCCACATGCCCCGTCTGTCTCTGCCAGCTCCCCAGCTCCCTAGGGACTCCTGGTGTTGGCTGCCAGGGCTGGTGTCTTTCTGAACTCTGTTCTCATGCTACTTCTCTTCAGACTTTCTCCTCACTCTTGCCAGCCTTGGCTAGACCATTAATGCTATAGATGTGTAGTCACCGTTTTTTTTAGTTATCCTGAGTTCAGCTACACCCCATCCCGGTGGCCCCCAGTCAGGAGACTGTTAGCAGTCCCCTTCCATGCTTACTCTTAACCTAGGGAATCTCGTGTCTCCAGGTATATTAAGGATCCATATCCCATAATCAGGGGAAAAAAACAATAATTAAAAGAATTCCTATCTCTGACCATTTGACCCGCTGGCTTTAAGGAGCAATACTCTCCCAATTCCGTGAATAACTTAGCACCTGTAAAAGTTTTCATTGCACCCTTACCAAGGCATCATAAGGATGTTACCCACTAAATCCGGAAAAGGCCACCTAGCATACCCACTACCCAGAGTCAGTGATTCCTTATCTGCCACCTCTGGCAGATCTCATACAAAGCCTGGAAGGTAAAGTCTTTGCTTCTAGCTCTGATGATGCCACTACCTCCCTCCATGTCCTCTGTATCCCCTCAGCTCGAAGCTGCAGAAGGGGCGCATGTCATGCCGTGATTTAACAACTGCAGTACTCACCCTTCAATCTGATGGCCAGGGCTGCCAATATGATTCGCTTTCATTCCTCATTGGATGCCTGTGAGACATCACCCCTCCTGAGTGCTTATCTGTGATCGAGGCAGGTGGAGCCCTTCCTTCGAGGCCCAGAACAGAGACAGGGAGCCATACAGAGCATGGGGACTCGAGCCCTCCTCCCTACCTCTTTTCCTACTTCTTCTCCTCTGCCTCCCACAGAACCACGAGTTTATTGATGAGCAGATGTTTGAACAGAACTGCATGGAGAGTTCAATGCAGAACTACCCATCCACGAGGAGTCCCTCACTGTCCAGCCACCCAGGCCTCACCACCACCTGCTGCTCCCGTCGTAGTAAGAAGACCACACACCTGCCCAGTTCCAACCTGCCAGCCACTCGCCTGCGCAGCATGCAGGAGCTCAGCACGCTCCACATCCAGGGCAGTGAGCAGCCCTCCCTCACTACCAGGTGGGTGGCTTCCCTCCCCACCCCCCAAAGGCTTGTGTCATTCCATTCGCAGCATTAGGAGAACTCTGAGGGTCCTCTAGCTGCCCCTCATCTAACACATGACCTACCTGCCTTCCTCCCCACACCTTCCTTCTCTTCCTTGCAGGTTAACCCAGAGGCCCTTTATATACTGTTGGAAGATACTATAGCAGCAGTTTTAGGCTGAAAGTGGTGTTAGATATCAGGAAAAAAAAACCTAAAAAATATAGATAGATAAAGATAGATAGATGTCCAAAAATGACCTGCCTCAGTGCAAAGAATGGACCCACCATTTTCTCAAGGAAATAATTTTCATAATTGTGTTACTCACGGCTTATCCCAGGCTGATTTTGAATCACAGACTGACTTTTCCCTCCCTTCTCTGCTTATATTTAGGCCACCTCCCACTACCTCCAAATGAGTTGCAGAGAATTCAGGGAAAGCAAATGCCAAATGCCACAAATGATAGGTAAACAACCACTGGGGGGAGGGGGAGGTGCACTCTGAAATTCAAAGCCCAGTATACATGACTTTGTAATTGTTAGTAGTTTAGGAATAATAATTAGAATGGATAATTACAAGCTGATTACGAAAGGCAGAGATAGACGGACACCCAAATCTCCTCCTAGTTACTATAGCAGGGAATGCAGGGGTTCGAGGAAGCTTTGGGATGCTAGCAAACAGGAACCATCATCAACTCACTCTTTTCTATCCCAGTCGCTCCAGCCTTAATTTGAAAGCAGACGACGGACTGAGACCAAACTGCAAAACATCCCAGATCACCACAGCCATCATCAGCATCCCCACTCCCCCAGCGCTAACCCCAGAGGGGGAAAGTCGGCCACCCCCTGCCAGCCCAGGCCCCAATACGAACATTCCTTCCATAGCCAGCAATGTTGTAAAGGTCTCCGCCTTGTAAAACCACTGGACAAAGGGCCAGAGGGGTAGTGGGGAGTGGAGGGGGCTGGCATGTTGGTGGGTGGCCACTGGGACCACCCCCCCTTACCCCACTGTTTCTGCCTGCCCCATTGTACCCCTAGCGCTGAGACTTGTGCCTGGAAGGAAAAGGAGGCAGCAAAGGGCACCTGAGGTCCACACTGCTGGCGTGGACACAGCCCCGTGGCATGGCATCTCACTGGGGCCAGAGCGAGGGAGGGAGGGAGGCGGGGACGGGCTGGTGGGGGGTATAGGCTGTGTGCCAGCACAGGGCCTGGAGGAGGGAGCCTCAGACCAAATAATAGTCGTTTCCGGAGACCCCAGTGAGGACAATGTAAGACCAAGAGCAGCACAGAGGCCAACCTGTCACTTGCAAAACAGGAAGAAAATATAACACTGTGTATTTAAGCACCTTTTTCAAGGCTCTTAATGGATAATATTTATTCATGGGAAAAGGTGGAAAACAAAAACACCAACAGATTTTTGTGAAATGTTTTTCTTCATGGACCCAACACCTTTGAACCAAAACAATGCATTTTGTGAGGGCTTTTTTTTTTTTCCTCCTTTTATAGCAAAAGCTTTTAGGCTAAGAAGTCAGTTATGGCTGAGTTCTCTCTCCATTCCCCCAGATGGGTGAGGTCAACTGAGCCTGGGCCCACACTGCCCAGCTGACCTGCGCAGAGCTACCAAGTGACCACACACCAGTCCTTTCCCTCTGTCTGTCCCTGTCTCCTCTGTCTTGTGCCTCTCCACTTACCCCCTGGCTGTTTCTGTGTCCAGCCGTCTGTCTCTACATGGGTCCCGGTGACCCTGAGACATGTTGGTAAAGCCTTCTCACTGCCAAGCACTACAGACTTGTGCCTGGGAGTTATATTTGTGAATCAATTGTGGAAGAGGAAAGAATGAGTAAAAATGGGGAGATGAGGGGTAGGGAAGTTTACCTTATAGAATAAAGGTGCTTCCCTTGTGGTTGGAACCACTTGTGTTTGCAGTTTCAGTTTCTGGGGAAGGAAGGGAATGACCAGATTTATCACACTGGGATCGCGAAAAAGGAAATAGCCAACACCTGAGAAGCAACCCACTCTGGTATGTGCCAGTGAGGAGAGAACGGAAGAAGCCAGGGCCCGCGGCGGCGGTCGGCCTCTATGGCACCTTGCTATGTACCCTTCTTTCAGGACCCACCGCAAAGCCCATCCGGAGCTCTGCCAAGAGGTCCCATGAGTGGTTTCCTCCAGGGAGGGCAGTGGTACCGGGACTGAGGCAGCTCCCACATGGAGGCTGTGGAAAGTTAAGCCTGTGTGCCTCATGCAGGATGCTCCACAGCGTGAAAGCAAGTACAAGATTCTAGATGATTCTCACCTGGTATGAAAGATGCCTTGAGGTCTGAGGAGTCTCCAGGCCTGATCCTCCCTGAAGATAGCTGAAATGGGGGAGAAGCCTGATCACCTCTTTGCAAGTGAGACAGCAAAGATTATTTCTTGAAAAACCTGAACAACGTATCTGTTCAAGTGGCTTGCACCCTGGTGGGGCTGGAAATAGTGTTTCTGGAATCCTAACCATTGTTCACTGCATTAGACAGACCAGGTGGGCTTTGGGGTTAGTGACCAGCCCCTTCCCACCCTCTCCAATCCCAAGCTACCCTATTACAGGCTCTGTAGCCTGGACTCTGAAATACTTGAGCTCCTCAGAAGCTCCTTATCCATCCCACAGCTTAGTGGTTAGCTGTTTAATTGCAGACCAAGAGTTTCTCTGCCCACCGCAGTCATCTAAATGAGTCTCACTAGCCGGGACCCTAAAAACACTGTCTCTGGGCTTCCCTATGACCCCAGCTCGATTGACCCGGTAGACAGGGAAAGTCAGCAGGTTTTGAGGTGGCACCTAAGCAGAGGTGGGCAGCAGGCAGCATGTCTCCTTATGCTTATCCTCCCTGACCACTGACTGAGTTCTTTCTCTGGTCTTGCTTCAAGGATTTCCCCTTAATGTGGGAATGGAGTGGTTCTTGTCCTCTGAGCTTAAGGTCTAAGAAGGCAGAAAAGCTCACCAGAACAGAGGAATATGTGTGTATGCACACACATGAAACCAACCTAAACACATCGGGGACTACGTACTTATATCCATTCATTTCATACACACACCTCACACAGAAGACCAGGCTGGAATCCACTTAGAAGGCAGGCGAAGGACTAGAAAAGGATTTTACTCTTAAAAGAATGGGTAATAGAACAATGTTAGGAATGTCTAAATATCTATGTTACATATCATAAGACCCAAGGGAAGAAAGGGATAAAGCGGTAAGTAGGAACATGGTTGCATACACAGACAAACTGCTTGTGCTTAATTTAAGAACAGCTCATCACAGGGTTAGAATAGTGACTGATTCAACCAAGGATCTGTTTGATAGTGCACCAAGGGAGCATTTTAGTGGTTCCCACAAAAATTAATAAATTTTAAGTATCATGTCCCAATTTCCCATGTTTTTTATTGACCCTAATGGACTGAATATTTTATGTCCCTTCAATTTCATTTTCAAAGCCCACATTATGCCAGTTCCTAAAAGACCATTAGACCATCCCCTTCTTCTCCATCCCCCACTGTAGCCTTAGCCAAGGATACAGCACATAGCTCACCTCTGGTCAACCCAGGAAAAAGATGTTGATCCAGGAAAATGGCAGATCTACACAACAGAACACAGACAGGCCGCGCAGCTACAGAGTATTTGTAAGTAAACACAAGGTCCAAAGCGTGCTGAGTCAGTTTAATAAGTCTAACTCATCGGCCAGTCACTGAAGAACCAGGATATCAAGGTTTTCTGGGGGCCAGGGGCCTTCTGGTATGATGACTCTTGAGCTTTCATAGTTCACTTCGCCATAATAAAAGATTTCCCCAAACCACCCTCCCATTCAATCCCATTCAGCATTAAGGGGTGGGAGGAGGGGAAGATGCAAAGGAAACCTAATAGCTACATTCAAATGTCAAATAAATGGAAATGTAGAAAAAAGTATTAAGAGTATATCAGAACTAGAAGAGATTAAAGACTGTCTAATTCATTCTACAGTATAGAAAGCTGAGGCCCAGAGATATAAATGACTTGCTCAAAGACACACAGTCATGGAACGACAGAGCTGGGACCAGAACACAGATCCCTTGGCTGTTAGTATAATGCTTTTTCCACCATGCCCAGTGCCCCTCAGAGCAATGCCATAACTGGAGTCATAGTCTTATGTAAATGTCAGTACTACTTGGACACAGCCCTTGGAAATCACCTGACTGTACTAATACAAACCATACTTTGGAAACCACTATTGTCTGGGTAGAACCAGCTATGGAATGTCAATTCTGTCAGAACAGTGAATAGTTAAGTTTTTTCCATCAAATGTTCTCTCTTCTCAATGAATAGAAGGCTAGGACAATGACATTGCAAGCATACCTTTCCTAGTCCTTCTGGTCCTTACTACAATCTGTGATGGTAGTAGGTAAAGCAACTAAATTCTTACTTCAAAGAGAGGAAAATAGGTGCAAAGCTGAGTGACTTACCCAAGTTCGCATGACAAGTTAGTGGCAGAACTATGATTGCAGTCCAGGACTTAGACATCTTGTCCTGGCATTTCTCCTCCACACCATATTGCATTGCTCGGAGGCCTGCTTATATTTTTAATCCCTGGATTTCAAGGGTGGTGATCAGGGGGAGGAAGCATTCCATTCCAAACCATCCTGAACCGGGATCTCAGAAGCAAACTCTGTTCTGTTTCTTCTTCATCCTCTATTTTAATAACTAGTGCCAAGCTCAGGACTAACTGCATAGACTCCCTTTCAAAAGACCAATATATGGTCTCAATGACAGTTGAACACATTAGTTTACAGTCACACAGAATTTGAGCAGAAATCAAAGTGGACAGTTAATGCTGATCCATAATTAACAAAAAAGTAAACTTGTGGATGTGCTGAGGACTTTATCCAGTTTTCAAAGTATCCTGCAGTTCAGGATATGTCACTTATTAGAACGTAGGCAAGGAAAATGTACATTGAAACATTATGTACCTAGACTTTTTCCTTGTCTTTTTTATTTTGCAGAGGTAGTGGTTGAAATTGAGCTAACAGTAGATTTTGAGGTTATTAATGAATTTCAGTCATCCAGGCTCCCTCTCTTCAATTACCAGGTAACTATAAGGCAGAAAGATCACAATGCTGTTAAATTTAAGGCAATATTAGTTTCCTTTCTATACTGGTTGGCATGGTAACTGTGACAAACTTTTATTTTCCCTTTATGATTTTCCTGATGAAATCTCATTACTTGCAAAGCTTTAACAATGACTAGATGAAGGAAAAACATTGTTACGACCCATGACCCTTGGAGCCCAAAGAGCATCATGAAGAAAATCATTAAAACTAAGAGAAAGTGGCTATCAAAAAATGAAACAGCTTTAAAGAGGTTCCTTTCGAGTCTTGTTTTCTATTCAGAATGTTCTATGTTTTTTTCTCATCAAGTGTGGGATGACATTTATCTTAGCAGATTACTTAACTACACTGGATGATGTCATTCTAACCAGTGTAGGGCACTGATCCAAGTCCTGGGGGCTCCTTGGACCAATGGACTATTTTACAAACCTGGGAGGTGGGAGGGATGGTATATTTTTGATAATCAGACATTCCAATGTAGTGTTTTCCTTAGAGGTCACCCCCCCATTAATGTTATCGTGAAAAACATCGTGTGTTCTTTTCTATTTTCGTATAATAAATGGGCTTTGCTTACCAACATCATAATGGCAAAGAAGAAATATACTGTATAAAACTGCAGGAAGATAAACATGTGAAAACTTTCTATGAAAAAAAAAAACTCTTGAGTTTCCTGTCGTCTTCTTTTGAAACTGTAGTGCATATGTTAAAACATGTATATCATTTACAGTATTGAGTCGTGTGCCACTGCTGTACCTGATGTATCCAATCTGGATTAAACAAACTATGTGCCACAAACCCTAAAATGACTAGGAATGTTTCTTTTAATACCAGTTCTCCTTTCCTCCCAAAGGTGCTGCTATACACTAGAAAATAAGGGTAATTCAAACAAACAGAGGCTTTCTACCTCGCTAGAGAAAAGTCACAGAATCTCACAAGGGAATTCAAGGTGTAGTGTACTCTTCCTGCCCCATTCCCCAACGTAAGCACCTCCCTCTATGACATCCCTGACAGTGCTTGCCTGCTTGTACACTTTATCTATGGATGTGTGCTAACAGGTAAAG